AATGTAACAATACGGAACGAAGTCTCATTAGGATGATGGACTTTCGTGTATACTTGTTTTTGCTTCAAACCACAGACAAGGTTATAGATGAGGTATATGAGTAGACATTGAATCTTACGGACTTTCGTGACCTGAAATACCGACATAGTAAAAAATCACTAGTTTTTTAGCATACTCCACGTTTAAACAACAGTAAATTGGGAAATTAAATGAATGCATCAGAAATGTGATTTTTGAGATTTTATTATCATTACAGTGTTGTCACACTTTCAATAACTTTCAATAACCAAACTTTCAATAACCAAAGTTAATAACTAATCGAAATCATTCTAGTGTATAAAGAGCTCTATCCTCTGGCTTTAGGTGTTTTACAGATATATTTCAATATATAGTAAATTAAAATTTTAAAAGTAATACATAGTTTTTTGTACAAATGATTTATATTTTACTAAACATTTTTAAAAAAAATTTTAAACTATTTTAAATTACTGTTAATATTAAAATATTAAAATTATTATATTTCCTCATTTACTTGTATTACATATTCAAATATATGTTAAATTTTTAATAATTTTATTATAATTATGCAGTGCATTGATTATAATATAAATAATATGATAAATAATATAAATATATGATTATAAATATATGATTATAATATAGATAATATGATAAATAATATAAATTCTGTTATTCATTAGTTAAAAATTATGCTTATTAACATTATTCGAAATTTTTCTATGAACTATCTTTACCTATCAATATAATAATAACAAAACTTTGTTATTTATTAAATATAAATCATCATTTCTTGCAAATCTAATGAAAAATATAGTCATATACGTGACACACATTATAGAAATTATACGCAATTATATTTTTACAGATCAAACAATGAGGAAAATTTTAAGATCAAATAAAATGGAATTTCATATTTTTCTTCATGGCATTTGTTGAGACGAATTGAATGATCCACTCGATCTGTAAAATTATATGATATCATTTATCATTGAAAATAATCTAAAATTGCATTATAAGTTACTGAGCAAGTGATGTTATATATTAGTTAACTAAGCCTGAATCTGAATTAAGCCTGACGATTATAATATTTGTAATTGAATGGCATATAATAAATTGTGATCCTTGATTTTTGATATCCACAAAGCATTTCACAAATAATTTCCCGACTCCACAAAAATTCACGCGCATGCACACGTTCACCTAACTCGTCGCATAAGTTATGCCAGATAGCAGCTAAATTTATGCCTAGACTATTCCAAATTCCTGTCAGCGACAGGGGGCTTCGTCCCAGGAA